GTCAACACAACAAGAACAGAGACATGAAAGAGCTCAGGTGGCTTTGCCTAGAGGCAAAGGTTGTATCTCTCTGGTGGTCTGAATTCATTAGCAGCTCCAAGGGAGAAAATGGGCAAACGCCTTTCTTTTGTTTACAGCTTCAGAAATCCAATGTAAAGTCAACAATGAGCTGATTCCAACTTGACAACAATGAGAGACACACGAAGGAGCCCTGGTGGCACAGTTTGTATCATGTTAACAAAAGGGCAAGAAGTTCGAATCTACCAGTTGCTCCTTTAGAAGGAAAATGGGCAGTCTCCTCTCATTAAGATTAACCGCAGGGGTGGGGGTGGGGTGTTTGTGTGGGGAGAAGGGTGCAACAATGAATGAATGGAATTCCAAAATCTCTGTAGATGTTCATTGAAATGAAAAATAAACAACCTAAATTAAAAAAAAAAAAAAGAGTACATCAGAAAGTTAAACTTTTCAAAAAAAAAAAAGATTAACCATCTGAAAAATCCAGTGGAGAATAACTAGGAGTAAGAATTAACCAGATTGCAGGGGGTTTGATTTATTTAGAGACATAACATTTAAATATAATTCCAGCCCATGTGTACAAAGCAGACTGTCACAGAGTTTTCATGCTTGTGACCATTCAGGAACAGATTTCCAGGCCTTTCCTCCTAGACTCTATTGGGTGGGCTTATAACCAAGCTCACCTAACAACAACATCAAATAAGATAAGAAAAGTCAATCTAATATATTACACAACTCTAAAATCTAAACAGAAAGTAAGGGAAAGTATTCAATTACGCCAAAAGAATAATGCTATAGTAAAGTAAAACTGGCAAAGACCATTAATAGTCTTTAGATTAAAATTTCTATACAAAACAAGCAAAACAGTTTCCATGGATAGTCACTGACATTTCTAAATTTAAATTAATTTGAATCTGAAACTAAACAGAAGGTTTAAGTTCCTATCTCAATTGAGAATAAAGCAATTTATTACAATATTATGGTCTTCCTATTCATATTCATCTTATATATTACTGTCAGGTTAATATTATTAATTACTTATACATTTCTTTATTGATTGCAAATTCCTCATCTGTGCTTAAATGCACTCTGCAATAGGCCTAATCCAGTCTCTTGGCCTTTCCTATGCAGCAGTCAATCTTCCTGTAATTTAGTCACTGTCTGCTTCACAATCCTTCTGATGATATATTTTTCTTTCCAACCTAGGGAACTCTCATCTCAAGCCACCTCCTTTGGGTTTCTCCACCACCATCTTCCTTTCCTTTCCTCCAAGACTGAATGTGATGCTTCTCCCAGACCTCCTAATTTAAATCATCAGCAGTGTTCAATCCATCATATTCTAATTACGGATTTACTCACCTACTTCCCTGATGAGACTAAAAACTCCTTAAAAATGTGGACACATTTTACATGCCAAGACTAGTCACAGATGTTGTCAAATGTCAGAGGCAGAATAAACAGATCAGAAAACAAGAAGTCCATCATGGCTCCAGGAGTTTCTGTTACAAGTTTATTAAAAATCACTTACACTACTACACTGCTCTTATGTATTTTCCATGCTCTGTGCATTACACATATTTGTGTACTTGTCTTACACTCTTCTGAAATAGTATCATAAACTCAAGGGCCGGAATTACTTCCAACCCTTTATGGGAGCCACAGAGAGAGGCATGCATAGGGGCACAACGACTGGACACACCTGCACATAGGACATGTACACATTCACAGCTCAGCAAGCACCCTGCTTTGACAGCACAATAGGGAGAAGGCAATAAAGTGACAACCCTACCTAACACTGAATCCAGAGTCATCTCTTAAAGTACTGACTTTTTTATTATTCAATTTAGGATCTATCATAAAATCTTATTTATAAGTCTAGACAAACTCCTTAAGCCTGTGTATCTTCACTCCTTTAATATTTCCTTGCTCCTAGATATTCCACCTAAACACTAAAACTCAAATTTAAAGGCAAGATCACATCATTCTAAAAGGACACTTAAAAAATTAACAAGTGACAGATATTAGCAAGCACTTAAGTGCCATTATATTTTAGTTTTGATGAGTTAACCATTGTCAATGAGTAACAGCAGCAACAGTTAGTTATTGACGCAATACCACTGTGTGCTACTCTAAGTATTTTTATCTGTAAACTCAATCTATAGTGGAAAAGCTGAGGTACAGGCAGATGACCAAGTGGAGATTCAAATCCAAGCAACCCAGAGCCCACACTTTGAACAAACACCACCAAAACTGCAAGTCCACAAATTAGAAAACAAAACTCAAGTGACGTATGTTCCCAACTTCTCTCAGATTCTCCTAAAAATTCCAAGCATTTAAACAAAGAGTGTGATATTATAAAATTAACTTCTTCCCAAAGTACAATTTTCATTTTTCTCTTAAATGAGGATGGTTTATACATTTATGATGCAGGATGGTTTCTTTGTGGTATTATCATTTCCTGAGAAGTTTCTTAGCACTATGCTGGAGCATCCAGTGAGGTAATACAATGGAAAAACATCCTAAGGAACAATAAAATCTCTCAATGAAGGGAGAATGTTACAAATAATGGACAGACAGCCTGCTAACAGAGTGATGCTAAATTTATTTTATAAGAAATAAATTAACTTTCCATATATTAATTTTAAAAAATCCAAAATAGATGGAACTTGTATGACCACCAACTGAAAGACTCCTTTTCTATCTTTCACTTATTTCATGATAGCTCACTTTGTCACAGTTCCCCTCTCTCTTGAAACAAAGCTATCCTATCCTTTGGCCACACCTACTGCTAATTAAATGTCAAGTATTTTAATGTTAGGTTAGGAAGCTCTAGCGGCCTAGTCGTAAGAAACTGCACTGCAATCCCAAAGGCATGCAGGTTGAACCCACCAGTTTCTCCACAGGAGAAGGATGTACAATCTCCTCCAATGAGATTTACTGTCTCTCAAAATTCACTGGAAGGTCAGTTATGGGTCAGTTCCAACTCAACAGTACTCAACAACAATATTAGGTTAGACCGTTTAACATTGTTTTTCACCTCTTTTACCTAAAATATGGCAACCTTATATGAGTCAACCTAATCTTTCTTAAAATGCATTCTATTAAACAGAGGAGATGCAGCCTATGAAGTTATAACTATTTCATCACTGTCAAATCTTCTGGTAGCACACAAAGCAATAAGCAATTTATACCATTTTCAGTCTCAAGAGGAAAGAAAATAAAAATTATTCTCATGGAAAAACATTCATTATATATATTGTTAAGTGAAAACAAGTGACTAGCAAAACAGTGCAATACCAGCTTCATTTGTGCATAAACATCAAGTGTTAAAATGCTATTCTACAGTTTTATTTCATTATTGTCTATTCTCTTGGTGGTTCAACATTTCCTTAATTATCTAATTAAGATGTAGTATTTCTGAAATTTTAATAAACAATTCTTTGCTTAATTTATACTTAAAACATTAATGAAACTACATATACACTCTAAAGCAACTATACTAAATTTAAATGGGTTTACAGCTATGTGACAAAGCCCATTAAAAGTTGCTTCAAAGAACCTTGTTTTTTTTGTTGGTAAAGAGAACATCAACTATATAAACCTAGTCACCAACTGGTTTATAAAATTATGCTAACCAATAAAGACTAGATCAAAAGTTAAAACATAAGGGATCAGCATAAAATAAGTACAGATAAGATCAGATCAGAGAGGAAAAGAAAATCATAAAAAGTGAAAACCGAAAGCCCTCCCAAAAAACTTTTCTCCTAGATACATAGAAAAATTAAACCAAAATATAGGCTTTGATATCAGATAAATAAATACAAATAATATACATTCTTCGGTGAGGTATTATATTTTTTAAAATTCTAATAAATGGAATCTGGGTTTCCATCTTAATTTTAGATGACCTCGCTCCTACCTGAATAAAATGTGCTTTGAGTAAGGTGAATAACCTAACTCAGAATAGGTTTTTAAATGTATAAACCAAACACTTAAAATATGGCAAGAAAAGTTTGGCTTGAACAGACCAATGAACCATAGGTAAATAGTTCAATTAGTCCACTGTGATTTACTGCCCTCTGGCTGTTGTGGCAGGAGGTAAATTATCTTTCCCACTTTTTTTTTTAAAAAAAAAAAAGCTAGGAAAAGTATCAAGGGCAAGTTTTTTAGTAAATCCTCTATGCAGCTTTAGATTAAAGGCAGTTTTTAGTCTGCATAAAAGTTCGTTTTAGTCCTTATAAAAACATTAAAGACATCAACTAACAAACATCACCAAGAGTATCTGCAAATTTTCAACCACTAGTTAACAACTATATAAAGCTTTGGAGAGAATAAAAGTTGGTATTGAAAGACCTAAAGAGTTGCTACCCTAATGATTGAAATTAATCTTGAGTTATCATTTCTTAGCATACTAGACAGAAACACAGTAAAACTTACACTAGTTCAACTTCAGTTTCCAGATAACAGGGGCAAACTAAAGTTAAAAATTAGGCAGCATTCAAACCAGTTTCCTAGAATTCTCTAATTACATAAACACCAGGAAAAAGCAAGTCAAACTTATTAATGTCCGAAACAGGACATACTTTTCATATTAATCTTATTTAAAATACTATCCAGTGTCATCTTATAGTATTTACCCAAGAAGGCTCAAACTAAGTATCTGTATCACCTTACAATGTTCCATCAAAGAACTGAGGGTCAATGAACCACAACAGCCACAGTCTAAGAAAATACAATTCTGTTCACTTCATGGTGTCTGTCTTCCTAATTCACTATCATTATAAACAATGGTAAAGGGCAAGAGAATGGGGGGGGGGGGCACCAAACAAAGAACTAACTAGGAGCAGGAGAGAAGAGCAGAGCAAGAGGCACACCAAACAGGCACTAGGAATTTTTCTTTTACATAGCAGCCATTATAACTTTTCAGGAATTTTTTATTATAAAAAAGCACATAATACAAATAATTTTTTTAAGAAAAAACTTACCCTGCAGTTCATGATGTATTACACCCACTAGGTTGGGCTCATCTCCCCACCAGAATATCCATAATTCTTTGCAATCTGGTTTGACATCACGACGCCATACACACAGTAAGTTGGCTTGCAGACAGCGGATGAAACTTAACAGGATTGGATCATCCTGGGCTGGGGCTGAAATTATGGGTCCACAGTCCCCATGCCCTCCAAAATTGTACCTACGCCATTTGATTCCCGTGAGTTCAGCCTAAAAAAGAAAAAGAGGGGGAAAAAAGCCAAACAGGTCAACTGAGTATTTTTCCTTTTATTTACTGATTATGTTATTATAAAAACAGGCTTTTATAATGAAAGAATATACATTAAAGTCATCTTTACATAAACTTCCTATCAAAGAAACTGTTTCTAATGAAGAATATATGTTAATCATTATTGATTTTTATGAATGGGGAAGAAAACTCATTTCTATCAAAATTTCTGCAGGGTACTTTATAACAAATAAATAATCATTATTCCCTACTGAATCATATTTTCTGTAAAGTCTCTATATATGTAAACTACTCATTATTATGATCCCATCTTTAAATCTTAAATGATATTAAAAAATTAGGTATACTCTGTTAAAGGCTTTCCTCAATTTCTTCTTATCCAGAAGCTCCATTTTATACCCTTTTTAATCAAGGAGCAGGTAATATGCAGTGACCTGGTGCTTCATCACATGTGCCAAAAGGCTAGTAAAACAGATGCAACATTATCAGCAATGTAGTCATATTATTAAACACGGAGCAGACAGAAAAGATGTGTCTATTACCTAAAGCAATTTTTAAGCACATTTTAAAATTTAACAGAAGCAAAGAATAGGACCTGTATCTTTACTGTGTGCACTTGTAAAGATTTTTTTTTTAATCTTAGGTTCAAGATCTAAACGTCAAAGGTCTTTCTACACAAATGAATGCCCAATTCCTTAGTTGAGTAACTATAAGCTTTGAACTATGTGTTCAAAACTGATAGTGTTAAAAAAATTAATTAATTTAAAAAACTGATAGTAAAACTGATTCATAATTTTGACCAGTCAATGCTTCCTTCTATTGAATTCTTGCTCATTCATCTCCTCCCCACCAACTCAATCACTTTTGTCAACAATTCTTTTGGAAAGAGTAAGAACTACTGGGTTTTAAAAGAAACACCCTCTCTTTTAAAAAAACTAACATAACCAAAACTCATTTAAAGCACTACAATGGATGCATTAATGTAAAATGTATCACTTTTCTTCATGTGGAAAGATCACTGTTTCACTTAAAAACAAAATGGTTACAAAAGTAGTACTATCCAAACTAAGACTATCTAAAATTCAGCAATTTATCCTTTAAAATGGAAAATGCAAATTTAACCTTCAATGGAAATTCTTAGTAAAAGGTGGTACTAACATTGTTTAAGGTTTTTCCCTTTATGTTCCTTACTTGGCTTCCTTTACATAGAAAAGTAAAAAAATAACAATCATACTATAAATTATTCTTTTTCATAATGCCATCAGAATTAATAACTAGAAACTTCCTATTTTCAGAATATACATTTATTTTTAAACTTTATATTGCATGATTTTACTCTGCGTTTTCATTTATCATAAATATTTTTATATATTGTTAAATATTCTTTAGAAAGTATGCATAAGAATCTACTCATTGATTGAAGAGCACACAATATTCATTCCATAACTAGAAAATCTTCTTACTTTTCACATTCTTATAATCATCATAAATAATGAACATCTACGAACACTGTCATTATTCTATTTCCTTAGGCGAGATCACTTAATATAGACTTGCCAGTCATAGACTAAGAGAATAAGAAAGCTCCCAATGCATGCTACCAAAGTGCTCTTCAATTAATAGTCCCAACAATACAAAACAGTGCAGGCAGTATTTTTGTTAAGTTACACACAGTGTGTGTTCAGTTATAAACAGAGTTTTAAATCAACTCAACAGCAACTAATGGAAATAATACAATAATCTTCTCTCAAACTGTGTAGCTTTTAAAATACTTGCCAATATAAGCAAACACTGCAACCTTATGCTAAATCGTCATCTTCATTCTGTTTAGGAGAATAATCTGGGGTCAGACTTTTAGTGCTGGAATTTCAACTCTAGATATAGCTATATAAAATGTGTATATGTATATATGTATACACATATATACACACATATATGTATATACATACATGTATAACTCTATATATTTAAACATTTAAACATGTATATTTCAATTTGACGTATAAGCAAGATCCTATGCTGATAAAAGGAAAAAGTTCAAGCTGCTCTTACAGAATTGACAAAAAGCAAGGCCCCAGGAATTGACAGCATACCAACTGATATATTTCAACAAACAGATACTGCCCTAGATGTGCTCACCAAGTTGTGTCAAGAAATCTGGAAGACAACTACCTGGCCAACTGACTGAAAGAGATCAATATTTGTTCCCATTCCAAAGGAAGGTGATCTGGCAAAGTGTGGAAATTATCAAACAATATCACTGATATCACATGCAAGCAAGAATCTGCTGAAGATTATCCAAAAATGACTGGAACATCAACAAGAAACTATTTGAAGTGCAGGCTGGGTTTAGAAGAGACCATGGTACTAGGGCTATTATAGCTAATGTCAGATGGATCTTGGTTAAAAGCAGAGAGTACCAGAGGAATGTCTGTGTTTCAACGATTATGTAAAAATTGGCTGACTCTGAGAAGAACAGTAATCCCTGAACACTTGATCGTGCTTATGAGAATCCTATACTTGGACAAGGAGGCAGAGAAACACTGCATGGCTCAAAACTGGGAAGGGTGTGTGCCAAGAATGTGTCTTATTTCCCTATCTTTTCAATCTATATGTAGAACAGATAATCCGAAGTCTGGGCTCTATGAGGAGAAATGTGGCATCAGGATTGGAGGTAGACTCATCAACAATCTGTGTTAAACAGGTAACACAACCCTGCTTGCTGAAACTGAGGAGGATCTGAAGCACTTGCTGAAGATGAAGGACTGAAGCCTTCAACATGGGTTGAAGCTAAACATCAAGAAAACAAAGATTCTCACCACTGGGCCAATTGGCAGAATCATGAAAAATGGTGAAGAGATTAAGATTGTTTGTTAACAGCTTCAGTTTGCTTCGCTCAACAATCAACACTCTTGGTACCAGAAGCCAGGAAATTAAAGACAAATTGCATTGGGAAAGTCTACTGTCAGAGACCTCTCCAAAGTACTGAAAAGCAACAATATCAGTTTGGAGACTAAGGCACGCCTGATACAGGCCATGGTCTTTGCAATTACTTGCTATGCCTCAGAAAGCTGGAAAATGACTAGGGATGATAGGAGAATTGATGCCTGTGAGCTGTGGTGCTATAGAAGAGTACTGAATATACCATGGACTGCTAGGAGAACAAACGAGTTCATCCTGAAGAGGGTGAAACCAGGCTGCTCCTTGGAGGCAAGGATTCTGAAGCTTAGTCTAACATCCTTTGGATATGTTGCAAGGCGAGATCAATCCTTAGAGAGAGACGTCATGCTTGGGAGGGTCAAGGGACAGCACAGGAGAGGAAGACCCTCAATAAAGCAGATTGAATCAGTGGCTGGGGTAATGAGGATTGGTGTGTCAGAGACAATAAGATTGGCACAGGATAGAGCACGGTTTAGGGCGGTTGTACCTGGGGGTCGTTATGAGTCACAGGCAACTCGACAGCCCATAACAACAGCAGCAGCAATATATATTTATAAATAGTTATAAACAGCAAATACAGAGCAAGCTGCATATTTTCTGTCTTTAATTACCTCCTCTGCAAAACAGGGGTAATAGAACATAGTTACAGGGTTATAGATTACATGAATCAGTATATGTAAAGCACACAGGACAGTGTGTAATGCAAAGCAAAAATTACACATGGCATTATCATCTTTATAAGTAGTATTGATAGTAGTTCCATTTCTTTTTTTTGTCACGGTTTAATAGCTCACTTATTTTTTTAATTTATTATTAATTTCAGTAAAAATTTACAGAAACTTTGGATTTTCATTCATTCATTGTTGCACGTTTCTCCCCTCCCAACCCTCCCGCCTAGTACACCACCCTCTTGGAAAAGTAAAGGAAAAATTCTTTCATTATTTTACAAACCCTCCCCCAGGTCCACTCCACCTTGTTAGCCTTCGCTCTAGACTCCTGTCATGACAAAAATACCTAATCACATATCCCTTTTAAACAGTTTTCTCCCTCATCTGTTTCAATGCAGTATACATTACTGAGCCCATCTTTCTCAGTCTGCCCCCCAACCCCGATGTCAGTCCTGTTTTACAACAGTGGCACCATGCAATATTTGTCCTTTTGTGACTAAGATACTTCACTCAGCATAATGCCCTCCAGAGTCACCCATTTTGAATAATATTGCATGAGTTCCTTGTTTTTCAATACAGCATAGTATTCCACTGTGTAAATATACCACAGTTTCACTATCCATTCGTTTGCTGATGGGCACTTGGGTTGTTTCCAACTCCTTGCTATTGTGAACAAAGCCATGATAAACACGGGTGTGCATATATCTGCTCAGATGTCAGTTATGGTCTCTTTGGAGTATATTCCCAGTAGTGAAATTGCTGGGTCAAATGGTATCTTTATTTCCAACTTTTTGAGAAAGCGCCATACCGCCTTCCACAGTAGTTCCATTTCTGTTCATATGCTTTGTTGTGTTTCTTCAAATAAAGTGTTTTTTAATGTGACAGTCTAACATAAATTGTAAACAAATATCAAAGACACTAAATAAAAATTATAAAGAGAGGCAACTGAGATCAGAATAGCTATATAAAAAGTCAATTTTTCTTCTTACCACCTAAGCTCAGGGTAGTGAGTATTCTGGCCCAAGGACCTTAACGGTTAAGGAAAGACAGGAGGAAAGGTAAGGAAATTCACCAGTTAAGTAATAACTAATACTGAAATCAAGCATATTTTTAAAGTTGAAAAATGAGGCAAAGCAGAAATTTAACTGTTGGATGAGGCCGACCTCAAGAAAATCCATGAGTAGCAATTTACTCACAAACACTTTCACCTATAATGTCCGACATGGTCCAGCAGACAAAATACTGGCTCTGATACAAGTGATGCAAGTGAATGGTCTCCTAATTCAAGCATTCCCACCAACTTCCTATCAGTTTTTTCATGTTCTCAGTGGCAAAGGGGACCCACTAGTACCTGCTTCAAGCTCTTTA